CCTTGGTGAGGAGGACATTTTGATTCTATTGTCCTTTAGTCTAAGCAGTATGTTACGGCACTGATGAAATCCATTCAAATATTTTGAAGTAAGAATAGACGTTATCCTATTGGAAGAGACATGAAAGCCAATTACGAAGCTCTCTAACAAATGATCCATGATTCAAATGTGGAAGATTTTCATTTATTTGTGTCTTCCAAGTTTTGTTTTATGGGTAGACCTAATTTGCAGTATTTAACATTCGTATATAGGACAGAATGGCATGACATGTACATAGTATTTACCTGGAGTATACCTGGCTGCCAGTCTAGGGTAAGGGGGGTATTCACAAGAATGTGCCCTTCCAGTTCTATACATTAGATTTCAGTAGTGCTGGGCATTCAAGGTAACGTTATACACAAAGTAGTGCTGTGTGTGGAGTCAGCAGGTCAGCTTGTTAAATCTTTAAAATGCACCTTGTGTAGGGATTAATGATAAAGCACCTGAAACTTCTAGAGATGTGACTGTAGCCTATTGGGGAAAAAAACATGGTCAAGATTACAGTTGTATTTACTCCAATATTTGCATTCTAACCGATAATTATGGAGTATCGGAGGTCTTTCAGGTTTTCATGTCTCTGGACGAGGAGAATCCTGGGACATGTTAACATTCTGTTGTCACCTGAGAAAGAAACTGATATGTCCTGTTTTCAAATGTCTTTGGTACCCTGAGAAAGGATGAACATAGATGAGTGTTTTGTTTTTTTTTGTTTTAATTTGCTGTGTTTGCTGTGGAATATGGCGATTGGGAGTGATAGTTTGATATGATTGCTGTGGGGCAGCAGCTGGCAACCTATGAGCTGTTCATTATTTTCTCCCAGGACATCACAGCCACCTAGTGGGGATTCCGTTACTTGCAGTGCTTTGTTCACATAGGCGTTAGAAATAATCAAATCACAGTTTTTTGCACGTTTGCTCACAATTGTTCAGGTTTCATGGTTGTGAATCGCAGATCAGGAGTTTATTCAGATCATATAATTTATTAACTGACTGTATTATGTTATGAAACCCAATGCTCTTCTTTTTCTCCTGACTGCTAAATGACATGGTTTTATAGGCTGAAACAGACCAGAGTACTTTAGAGTGAGAGTGGTAGGCCGTGATCATTTCTAAGTGATTTAATAGGTACCTCAAGGGCCCATTTACACCGGATCTGTTGCATTGCGATACGTTTTTCAATGGATACTAACGGAAGGGCACAAAAACATTAGTGGGTGGGAATGGGGCTAGTTCACATCGCTCCCTTCTGTTCGGTTGTGCTATATAAAAGTAGACAAGGTAACGGATCAGTTGTGAACTAGCTCCATTGGCAGGCATTCATTTTTTGGTTCCTTCAGTTGGCACCAATTGAAAAACGGATCGCATCCCAACGAATCAGAAGGAAATCGAAAGGTACAACCTTCTGTTGACTTGCTTTTTGAACAGCTATTTGTTTTGAGGGGCAGGTTTGCACAAATAATTGGGTTTGTATCCTTGTGCTTTCTCTTTGACTTGATAATTCACGTACAACTTACCCTGTGTATGACATTTTCATGGAAATTACAACCTTCATGTGTTTTTTACATTTGATTTATTTACAATTGAATATGTAGTTTATCCTGCTAGTCTGCGTCGTGTGTATTTGGATTGTGCTTAATATTATTTTGTGTGGAGGCCTTGGAAAATCCCAGACCTGAATGGGTAATGTGAGGGAAGCTTCCTTTGTCTGTGCCTAGCTAATTAATTCAGAGAGGTGCCAGACTGCCCCGTGGAGTGCAAATGGAAGCCTCCACAACTTGTCAAGCTACAGGCTGGCGTTAACAGATTTCTCTCTCCGTGTTAGGTGTGGGACTATGAGACGGGAGATTTTGAGCGAACACTCAAGGGACACACAGACTCTGTGCAGGATATCTCATTTGATCATTCTGGCAAGCTACTGGCCTCCTGCTCAGCTGACATGACCATCAAACTATGGGATTTTCAAGGATTTGAGTGCATTAGGACCATGCATGGTAAGAACTCGATTGCATTTAGAAATTTGCAGTATTTATCTGTCGTGCTTAAACACCAGTAAACTTTAAAGGTTTCTGAAATGTTATGTTTATCAGGGAGTACCATTGATCATTTCATGTTGGATCACTTAAAGCTTACTTGACTTTAGGTGGAAATCATTAGTTCTACTGCTTGATTTAAAAGATTGTATAGTTTTGTTGTGACAGAAAAAGGTTAAATATCTTCTATGCTTATTGAATGGATATCTTTTTTTAAGGAAAATTTTCATGTGAAAATCATTATCACCAGGCTATCTAAAAAGAAAAGAAAATTACTGCAAAGAGCAGTAATGTAGAAAGGTAAATCGCCCAAAACAAAAACTTGTCACAACATTAGTTCGCCAGAGGTAAGTTTCAGCGTGCCTCTGACAGTCCTTTAATGCGTTGTCTGGCCACATTGAGACCAACAGGGGAGACGGGATGCAGTGGGTCTGAAGCTAAGCTTTATAGGAAAGTGTTTGCATATAATTTTAGTTGCATGTCTTTGGACCTATTGATTTGATGAGCATTATTTTAGGGCTGCAATCAACTAATCGATAATCAGAATTGCTGACACCAAATCCCATTATCGATTAGTTGGTGTGGATCCCCTGCTTCTCTCCTCCACGGTAGGAGCCAGTGTTTTATCGGCACTCTGTCCCCTCTGATCCCTGCAGTCGGTGCCCGGTGGGGAGGAGAGCCCCCCCCCCCCCAAACCTCCCAGAGAACATTCTCCATCAGGTCCCCCCTCTGCTGATTGACACCGGTCAGTGGGCAGGTGCAATAGCCGACCTGCTATTGCAATTTGAGATAACCAATAGCAGGCTGGATATTGCACCCCACGGCCTGCTGTGTTTACATTCAGCTGCTGGCTGCAGGATCTTGCCGCCGGCAGCTCTCATTCCCCGGCTGAAGCTTTTCAAGCACAGTGTGTGCTTGAGTAGCTTCTTGGAAGTAAAAAGGTGACACTAGTGTTCTGATAGACCCCTAATTTCACCTTTTTAAGAGAACCTGTCATCTCCAATGTGCTATCACATAGGAGGCTTTTGAGCCCCCATGTGATAGCAATGAAGTTAAGTAAAAAAAAAAGGTAACAAATTATAAATACCCAAAAAATGTTAGTCTCCTGCCCCCGCGAACGCGTGCATAGTGAGGGAAGCGCAAGACTGGTGCACCTACATACGAAAATGACAATTGCATTACATGTCCGGTATTGCGTGTGCCAGAGTGAGAGCAATAATTCTGCTAACTCTAAACTGATAACCAGGCTTTTATAGATTTAAATATTAATAATTTGTCCAATTTTTTGGTGTGATTTTAAATAAGTTTGGTTATTAAATTTTATTGGCTTAGAGTTTTTTCCATTCAGATTATTTTACATCTTTGAAAATAATTACTAATTAAAATATCTAATATAATTATTTTTTTTTAAACTATTTGAAAAGTCATTTTTGGATTCAGCCTGTCAAATTCTGGTGTGGGAGGTGCCATTAATCTTAATTTTAATGGCACCGCAGACGCACCTCCCTTCTGCACTGCTGTGGTAAACTGTTTGTAACACTCCATTTGTGTATTTTATTTTAGATAAAAGATGGCATCTTTTTTTTCTTCAATTAATGGAAAAAGTAATCGGCCAACTAGTCAATGTATTATCGCGAGTTGCAGCCCTACATTATTTACTTCTAGCAGTGTTCTTATGCCATGTTCATCACATGCTCAGTTCACTTTGATGTGACTGCAGTAAATGTAAGTCAGGTTGCTTTGGTTTATGGGACTTAACACACATTAAACTATCTAGTTCAAAGAGAAATAAGGAGCAGAGTCATTTTTGTTTTATTTAAAATCGTAGTGACTTGACTTCAGCCGTGTAATTCCTAATAACATCCTTATAGTGCTAGGCAGTTGTATGACTCCATTCTGGGTAACCGCATGCAGTTTGTATGGGATTTATCCCACAAGTCAAAGATCTTAGTGGCTTCATTTTCTTCAGTCTAAGTCCTATATTGTATGTTTTATAACTTTTACTCTTCGCTCTGTAGGGCTTTGGGTCTTAATGATTCTTTATGCACATGCTTTGTGTCCTTTATAAGTTTAAGTGGAATCAGAAACATGTTTTGCTGTCGGGCATGTTTTTGTAGTTTTTTGGAATATGTGAATCCATATTGCTGGTCAGCCTGTTTTTTTTTATAGTTTTGTTCACCATTTGCTGGCAAGAAGATCAGTACTATCCTGTTATGTTCACATGTTTTGTTTGTTTTCTTTTTTTGTGTGTCTTTTAGGTCACGATCACAATGTTTCTTCAGTAGCTATAATGCCTAATGGAGATCATATAGTGTCCGCCTCAAGGGATAAAACCATTAAGATGTGGGAGGTTCAGACAGGGTAAGTGTCTGATTTTAATTCCCAGTAATTGGTGTCATTTAAACATTACTGATCTTTTTCCAGCTAATCTGAGCATTCAAAAAGTACTATTTTTTAAATGTATTTTTTACTTCAATACTTTAGTTATTGTGTGAAGACGTTCACGGGGCACAGAGAATGGGTTCGCATGGTGAGGCCAAATCAAGATGGTACCCTAATTGCAAGTTGTTCTAATGATCAGACAGTCCGTGTTTGGGTGGTAGCAACAAAAGAATGCAAAGCAGAGCTTAGAGAACATGAGCACGTTGTAGAGTGCATTTCCTGGGCCCCCGAAAGCTCTTATACTACTATATTGGATGCCACAGGATCAGAGGTAAGGTGTTCTCTTATCCTTCCTCCTAGGCGTTTTTTTTTTTATTTTTTATACCTTGACCCTTTGTTTTACACTTATTAGGTTTATCTGACAGAGTTGTAATTTATGCAGTTTTATGTCTTGTCTGATGAAGTCAGGGCTCGACAAATCACATGTGCCAGGTTGTCATGGTGACTAGAAATTGCCTCCTGGTGCCTGACTTTTGTCAGTTCCCTCGCTGTCCCCCGCCGCCACCTCCGCATCAGCTCTGCTCCCTACCCGCTGGGAGCCGCTTAATGCTGCGCTCTTTCTGCACCTTGATCCCCGTCTTCATCAGCAGAGCCAGCAGGGATCAGACACTGACCGCTGCAGCCGGTGACCAGCGGGGTGGAGAGACCGCTATGCCTCTGCATTGCCTCAGCTTCTGCCCCGTTTCTCCACAGTTCCCTTCATGCCTCCGCTGCTCGTTCCGTGTCTCCTGCTGCCCCCTTCCCTCTCTTCCTATCTACTACCCACTGTAGAAATCCGGCCTTAAGTCTCCCATTCGGTGGCTAGGAGCAATAGCCAGCCTGCTATTGGCTATTTTAAATTACAGTAGCCAATAGCAGGCTGGCTATTGCACCGGCCCACTGCCTGCTGTCAATCAGCAGAGGAGGACTTAAAGGAGAACTTTCTCCTTCTGTTCCCTCCTCTGCCGATTGACAGCAGGCAGTGGGTGGGTGCAATAGCCAGCCTTCTAGTGGTTGCTGCAATTTAATATATAGCCATTAGCAGGCTGGCTATTGCTCCCAGCCATGGCCTCCTATGTTTACTTTCTGCTGCCCTATCAGGCAGCAGTCATTCCCCAGCTTAAGCTGTTGAAGTGGAAATGTGACACAAGGCTTCAAGTCGACCCCTAATGTCACCTTTTAAAGAGAACCTGTCATCTCCAATGAGTAAAAAAAAAAAAATTAAAAGTATAAAATCCTCCCCAAAAAAGTGAATAACATTTTGTGATGAGAAACTGTGTTTTTATAATCTAATACTCAGCCTTTTTGTCTCCTCACAGACTAAGAAGAGTGGAAAGCCTGGACCATTTTTGCTGTCCGGTTCCAGAGATAAGACTATCAAGATGTGGGATATCAGTACTGGCATGTGCCTAATGACACTTGTGAGTCCAACAAACCCTCTGTAATCATTTCTAATCTGATTTAATTCTCTTTTATTGCCATCTAAGTTGAAGTTTATATTCTAGAATTGTTTTGTGTCCTTTTTCATCATTAATTTTCATTTTACTGACACCTATTGATTTACCTTGTGTGTGTATATATGTACGGCTGTGCTAAAACGTTGGAGAATTGGTAATATATATGTACCATTTTTCAAGAGTGAGAAGGTAAAACACTTTTTCTTTTATTTTCTTATGGGATTCATTTTCAACTGTAGGTCATAACAGAATGGTACGATCAGGAAACAAAATATGGCAACAAAAAAAGAAAAAGAAATTACCCCTGTTCAAAAGTCTGCATACCCTTAGTACTTAATACTGTGTATTGCCCCATTTAGCATCAATGACAGTGTCCAGTCTTTTGTAATAGTTGTCTATGAGGCCCCGAATTCTTGCAGGATGTATAGCTGCCCACTCGTCTTGACAAAATGTCTCTAGGTCATGCAAAGGCTTTGGTCGTCTTGCATGGACCACACGTTTTGAGATCTCCCCAGAGTGGCTCAATAATTTTAAGGTCACGGGACTGTGATGGACACTCCAGAACCTTCAACTTGTACTGCTGTAACCACTGGAGGGTCAACTTGGCCTTGTGTTTAAGGTCATTGTCATGCTATAAAGTCCAAGAGCGTCCCATGCGCAGCTTCCTGACAGAAGAATGCAAATTGTCTGCCAGTATTGTCTGATAACATGCTGCATTCATCTTGCCATAAGCCTTGTTGACCCGTCTCCAAACATAGAGCATTATGGTCACAACCATAAGCGCTATTTTGGTCTCGTCACTCCAAATTACAGTGTGCCAGAAGCTGTGAGGCGTGTCAAGGTGTTGTCGGGCATATTGTAACCAGGCTTTTTGTTGCATTGGCGCAGTAAAGGCTTCTTTCTGGCAACTCGACCATGCAGCTCATTTTTGTTCAAGTATCGTCCTATTGTGCTCCTTGAAACAAGCACCCCGTCTTTTTCCAGAGCAGCCTGTATTTCTCCTGAGGTTACTTTTGGCTTTTTCTTTGTATCCCGAACAATTCTTCTGGCAGTTGTGGCTTGGTATCAAGACATCCCGAGTTTTCCACTTCTTAATAAGTAATTGCACAGTACTGACTGACTTTTTCAAGGCTTTGGATATCTTTTTATATCCTTTTCCATCTTTATAAAGTTCCATTGCCATGTTACGTAGGTTTTTCTGCTCCCCATGGCTCAGTATCTAGTCTGCTCAGTGCATCCACGTGAGAGCTAACAAACTCATTGACTATTTATACACATACACTAATTGCAATTTAAAAAGCCACAAATGTGAAAATGAACCTTTAATTGCCATTTTAACCCGTGTCTGTCACCTTGTGTGTCTGTAACAAGTGCAAACATTCCAGGTTATGTAAACTTTTGATCAGGACCATTTGGGTGATTTTCTGTTCTGATTTTAAAAAGGAGCCAAACAGCCGCGTGATGATAAATAGCTTCATATGATCACTATCCTTAAATAAAAGACAGTTGGGTTTTTTTTTGGCATGATCAGTCATATTTTCAATATCCATGCCAACATTTTGTGTGTGTTAACCTAAATTTCATTGATAAGTAAACAAACAAAAAAAACTTTTTTTTGTTTTATAGGTTGGCCATGATAACTGGGTACGTGGCATCCTGTTTCACCCAGGTGGCAAGTTTATATTGAGCTCTGCTGATGATAAAACCCTACGTATTTGGGACTATAAGAACAAGCGCTGCATGAAAACCTTGAATGCGCATGAACACTTTGTTACCTCTTTGGGTAAGTTTTTATAACCATAAATGTTAATTTCAGATGGCTTTGCCATTACTACATCATTCCCAGACTCTTCATATAAAGTCCATGTTTTTCTGGTAAATGATCTGTATACTTGGAAAAGTACAATTACATCAGCCCAGTCTTAAAAGATGACTGCACGTAAAAAAAATTATTTATATATATTTATTTATCTTTCCTGGCCTCTGGAGCCCAAAAAGTACACACAACTCCCCTTAATCCCAGCCTGAGATAGTGTTATAGGAGTCACTGAAGAATCTGGTGCCGGTGCTAAGCTAAAGACAAGGAAGGCTTTTTAAATGTGTGCCCTCTCTAGCGCCACTCAATTACTATTGGCAGTTCATTGTTCTCAAAATACACACTAACTGATTTATAAAGCCTGGAGGGTCTTGACTTTTATATTTATTCACTTTAGATTACAATGAGCCGTTACTAATTTTTATGAGGATGAGGCAATCACTGGCATTTTAAATCCGAACCCTTGGGCTCACTGTTCTCTTTGCTAATATGCCTCTTTTGCTCAGAATAGTTTGTAAATATTTAAACAATAAATGTGGGACAAACGGTGCCATAGACCTTTTGCTCTCCTCAATGCTCACTAGGCAACGAGTAGTCATAGAGACCTTTACATTGTCACTGGGGTTATGCACATGGGAATACCCTATAGGGGGGCCTCTGTGTATTAAAGGGCCATCCCACTGCCAGCATGGATAATAAGTGTTGGGTGCTGGATGAAGGGATTGACGTGTGTGTGCTGGGATCTCACTGGTTGAGTATCCTCTTGTTCAATTACATTTAGTACTGGAAGTACAATCCTGAAACAAAGGTTTCAGTTTAATATGAATGTATAAGATTTGCTGGTCATATCAATATGCATATAGTGGTAAACTTGTCCACAATTTACTTTGTCTTCTGGGCCATAAACTAACCATTCGTGTGTAGAGTGTTTCCATTTTGCATGTAAGAACTCAAACACCTTTTTCGAAAATGTTGATTCATTCTTTGGTTTGTCTTCTAGATTTCCACAAGACTGCACCATATGTGGTCACTGGAAGCGTAGATCAAACAGTAAAAGTGTGGGAGTGCCGTTGATTTGACCTCACCTTGGTTCCCATCGCCTCTCCCCTCTCCTCTGGATGCACTCAGATACCATGGTTACCCATCTGTTAAATACCTATTGTCCTTTCATGTAAATTATTCTGGATGTAGATTGAGCTTATTAAATGTTACACAAAAAGTATTCATGCATGGTGAATCCAAATTGTATACTGTAAATTTACATACGTTGTCTAGAAGTACCATAGGTTTAAGAACATGGGCAGGCATTGGTCACATCAGACCTAACAGGCAAGAACTGTGTCATTCTGGGGTGTCCTGCAGAATCATGCCTGTCGCTCTTTGTCTTCGGTTGTGGTTTCCTGGATCAGTGGGCTCACTTCAGAAGCACATTTTTTTTGTGGGGCTTTTTGAAAAGTAATGTGGATCTACGACAATGTTTTAGTGAGCTTTAAAAACGAAAATAATACACTTCATGTTGGAGTGTCCACAGAGTCAGAGGTTTGTGTAGCAGCAGCACTTGTCTTTTATGTATGTAAACTTACTGCAAAATATGGCACTAAATACTTTTGTTGCAGGTATTAAACTCCCCCCCCCGCAGCATACGTAATTACATGCTTGATGGCCTTTACGGAGGTGATTGTTGGATGGCAACCAAAGACTTCTCATCAGTCCTAAAAGGAAAAAAAAAAATATGCAACAAACTTGTCGCAGTTTGTTTTTCTTATTTCGAGCACCTGCATGTTTCAAACCATGTGACGTCTTACCTCTTTTTATTTATTCTGTCAATCCACCGTTTTGTGCCTCAGGATTAGCTGCCATCATGCCTTCATCTAGAGCAAAGGTTCAAAGCTGCCCTTAAATATTTCTCAATGGTCCAGGATTTATTGACGTGCCCATATAGCGGTAACAAAAAAAAAACCGTGCTATAGCTGAAAAACCACTGACGGGAAATGTGTATTTCCCCTCATACCCAGGTCTATGTGGTCAGCTGAACTGTAATAAGGCAGCATATAGAAAGCTTACTGGTTGGTTGCTTGCGTTCATTTCTGCTGCAGATGCAAGGTCAGCTTAAGGCAGTTAAAACCAAGTTGACAAAGTGGTAGCTATACACTTCTTTGAGAACGTTGGCTGTGCTTCAGAATTATTTGGGTAAGCGATTGTAATGTATAAAGGTTCATGCTGACCGTGACCACTGCTTAAATATAGACCAGGTACTACACCCTCGTATAGGCTTTTCAAAGTACAATGACTGCCGTGTTGAGTAACCTGTAGCAGCCAATCTAATCTCACTTTTTCCTGAGCTGACTACTAATTTGTTTAGTTGCTACGGGTTAGTGCAGCTTGCACAGTCATTGCACTAATATTAAATACGTTTTCCTTGGGCACATTCTTGAGGGACAGATGCTATAACCCATCGATGGAATAGTCCAGCATCTGTTTCTGTTAATAATCACAGGAGCATGTTGGGAAAGTTGTAAAAATGCTTTGCACTAATCCTGAAACTCATGGAAACTTTGGTTCAGTAGAAATGCCTCAGACTTGGACCTTCTACACATCGGTGCTCTACCTTCATTCATTCTAACATTGGCTCATTTCCACGAATCGGCACCAATGAACACATGACCACAACGCTAAGGTTGAGATGAAGAGACACGCCGTTCTTTCCACTTGTCCATGCAACAGACTGTAAGCTTTCTGTCATCTTTTCACTGCGTGCTTTGTTTTCAGCTACTGCAATTTCATTTCACACACATTCTGGAATATCACTGAGCAGTTTGTAGACAGCATTTTAAACTAGTTATCTGAGAAGTCTCAACACTTACAAAGTCCTTTTTTTTTTTTGTACGCCGCACAAATGTCACCACTCGAAGCATGCACAAAGCCATGAAAACGTAAATGGGGCAAAATCATATAGACTTTAAAGTCTGATAGCTCTTCATAGGGAACAGCCCCTGATTATTGTTATTCCTCTGACACTCAGTTTTGTCAGAATTACTGACCACGCTCTTTTATGTCAGCGATTATCTTAGACTTCTTGTTTTTGGTACCAGATCTAGCCATTGCTTTTCAAAAAGCACCTTTGGAATGGAGCATAAATGATTATTCTGATGCCTAGAATTTGTATTCACAGTAGTCACCATGTCAATAAATATTCAAGCAGTTTGTGTAAAAAAAATTCCCTTTTGTGGAATAGTAAAAAGAAAAAAAAAATCATTGTCATATTGACGTTTCACTTTTTTTTTTCTTCCTCTCTCCCTCCTTACTCGAGTAAAAGTACCCATAATACCATTGGAGTCATTCACAGAAGTGGTTAATTACTATGAGTGCCCACAAGTTTGAATGTTTTTTCGGGTTAGTCCAGTTTATTGTACAGGCTGCTATATATCATCTTTATTCCCTCGTGTGAGTTGACGTCTAAATGTTACAACCAAAACTGCACAAAGGCTTCAAGTTTAGTGGGTGCTTGGCCTGTTGTATCCAGCTAAGTTATGTTAAAGTAAAAAAGAAAAAATACAAAAAAAAAAGAAAAATCACACTACACTATTTTTGAATTTCGTGAATATGAAAGGCAATTTTATTTTGAAACATCTGTGCAGTAAACATTTTGTCCCCAGACACCAAGAGGAGCTCTTTGCCATCATGGTTTGTCCAGCACATCTTTTGTAGCTACAATTCTAGGTCCGCTTTACCCATCCTATTAGAGAATACAGAATCCAGACCAACTCCCTGTTAGAAAATGCATTTTGTATTACAAATGTCTTTAGCTTTTTGTTTTGTTTTGTTTGGTGAAGGTTTATTTTTCATGCTTTCCCAATCACTCCCATGTATCTTTTTAGACATGTACTTGAAGGATCCCTCGGTCTAGAATTCCCTTAAATTGTCAGCGGTGTGCATACTATGTAATGGACTCCTTGGCTGATGTTTCAGTGTACGGTCAGCTGTCATGTGAACTCTCAGTGATTGGGCAATTGTGAGTGTGCCTTATTGCCTCTTTACTTGTACATTGATACATTTTGTATAGTATGTTGAAGCATTAATGATCTGCTTTGTAGTGCTGCTGTCTTTTCAGAGATACTGCAGAGGCCTAGTCAAAGGCTTTAGCTCGCAGAAATGCCTTTTAGCAACTTAAAACCAAAAGGAAGTTCCATGTCATAGCTATAGTCACTACTTGCATCGTCGCTTTTTTGGGGGTCACTTAGAAGTCTTTCTCTGCTCCCTGTGGTTGATGGAATGTTTTGTCCTACAAACAGCAAATCATAACAGGAAAATGGAGACCCGCCTCGGCAACAAAAGGCATTCAAAAGCCAAATGGCGCTGGGGGAAAGGATGGGTGGCAGAATAACAGGCATTAGAACGTGAAACTTAGCACAGCATAGCTGGATAAAGCATTGACACCTATTTATTAGTGAAAATTGCTTTTGCACTATACACACCTGTGGAACAGAAAAGGACTCCATGTACTTTGGAGCAGTGTATCACTATTATCTTGCAGCAACGCTGAACTTGTGCTGTTGGTGCCGCTACAGTGACCACTTTGAAGATGGCCATGCAAGCCAGCAACAGGCTTCATTCCCAAACTTGACTCCCGTTCGATGGACGCTTGTGTTGCCTATACTTCTGTTTTAGCTTGAGAAGTGCAAATGTGTCGCTCTAACCTAATAACCAGGAACGTGGGGGTGGTTGAGTTCAAAACTGTTGCTGTCTGTTAGCATCTTGCACTTTAGAAGATTAAGCCGTCCTGCTTTTGTGTGGTGTGACCAATGACGTGCCCAGGCACTAATCAAACAGTAACTAGTTACTAGCAAGTTGTCCGGGGCCGGTGGAGCACTGTAGATTCAAAAAAACTGACTCTAGACCCACAAAGCCCAGTCTATTATTGTCAGACCCTGCTTATCCCGATTGCCTCTTCTCTGCTTTATGTGAACCCCTCTGGTGATTGAACTCTTTCTCTAGCAATCTGCCAGTGCCCTCCAACATGGGATGTTTAAACATACTATTTTATTTTATTGTTCAGTGGTGACTTGATAATCCTGGTCATATTTTAAAAGTGGAAAATAATGAATATATATATATTAACAGGCACTTACAAGATCTGTCAAAATAGTAGCGCTAGTTATTAAATGAATACTTACACAGATGTAAACTTGTGGTGAATGTAAATTCTGAAGTTTTTCCTCATGCTGACAGTTTTGGATTTACAAGTCACAACTGAAACATCTCCTCTTTAAGCAAACCCCCTTTTTAGCTGTTCCACACTATCATGTAAGTGGCTACTTGTTCTCCAGGCTGTCATTGCCTCCCTCCCCTCCCTACACACCCACACACACTCATTCCTCACCTTTCTCGAAGAACCGTTTCTTCAGTCTAGTAGACCCTTGACACGGACATGACAGAAAGTGTCCATTTTCGTAAGAAAGACGGAAAGGTTTTATTTTGGAGGAAACTTTTTTTTTTTCTTTGACTGTAAGCGTTAACAGAGAAGAAAGTGACACAATTAAAGGACGAATATAAAAATCAGTAAAGGAATGTATATAATACTGCTCTGTGTTTTACAGTAAGATTTGTTGCTCTCAGACTGTGTAAAACAAAATTTATTCGTTTTTCTGCATATTAAAGAAAATCTTATTGTACCAATTGGTAAACTATTAAATGCATATAAAACTAGACGTGTTTTTTCCTCTTTTCTCATCAGTTTATAAGAATATTGAATTATGACGGCTTCGGCTCTGTGATAGGCAGTTAATGCGGCTGCTGTGTCTAGCTGGGAGGAGCATGTGATGTTCTCTTCTGCATGTAAGAAATCTCAGGCAAAGTTCTCTCTTTATGGTTCCAGCATCTACTTTTGAGAATTGATAAAGGTTTAATGGGTGCAGAAGTCGGTAATAAGCTATTTTCTTGATCATCCATCACAGGGAGCTTGCAAGTATGTTGAAGAGCTTGGTTGCATGGAGGGTACCACATCCCCTACTAATCAACAAGGATTTTTATTCAGTTCAGACTTTTTAGGCACCTATTCAGAGACTGTTCAGTCGTGGCCGAAAGTTTTGAGAGTGACAAAAATATTCATTTTTACAAAGTCTGCTGCTTCAGTGTTTTAAGATCTAGTCATCTGTTACTATGGTATACTGAAGTATAATTACAAGTACAAGAGTCAATATTTGCAGTGTTGACCATTCTTATGCAAGACCTCTGCAACTCGCGCTGCCATGCTGTCAATCAACTTCTGGGCCACATCCTGGCTAATGGCAGCCCATTCTTGCATAATCAATGCTTGGAGTTTGTCAGAATTTTCGGGGGGGGGTTTGTTTACCCGCCTCTTGAGTATTGACCAAGTTCTCAATGGGATCAAGGTCTGGGGAGTTTCCTGGCCATGGACCCAAAAGTTTGATGATTTGTTCCCCAAGCCACTTTTGCCTTATGGTAAGGTGCTCCATCATGCTGCAGGCATTGCTAGTCACCAAACTGTTCTTGAATGGTTGGGGGAAGTTGCTCTTGGAGGATGTTTTTGTACTATTCTTTATTCATGGCTGTGTACTTAGGCAGAATTGTGAGCCCACTCCCTTGGCTGAGAAGCAACCCCACACGTGAATGTCTCAGGA